GGATCATTATATGATCTCATATTATTGCTCACTTGTGTCAAACTCGAGGCCCGGGGGCTAAATGTCGCCCACCAAATATTTTGTGTGGCCCCCAGTGAAAATGAGTTCGACATCCGTTTTAAGAGAAACAAACTGGTTTTAAGTACAAGAATGCACTTTTTCTGTGATAAATTTGTTCCAAGAGCAACTAGAGAAAATAAAAGCTCCAGTTCAGCTTCCGATATCTACTATTTAATTAAGTAGGACAGAACCACTGCTTTCTGACTCTTCACTGTGGATATCTGTGCCAACAAAGAAAACTTCCTAACTACTGCTCAAAGTGGCCCTCAGTCTTTTCTGGACAAAAATGCCCTTTTGGGAAACTATTGGCCTACAGCAAGGCCTCATCGTAGCAAAGGCCAAACCTTACTGTTAAAACAGTCACCAGTTCAATCCCTGGCTCTATCTCATGGCCAGCATGAACCTGAACATGAACATGAACCTGTGATTTACCTGGTTTTCTCCACAATCCATAAACAAGCACATTTGGAAAATGCAATTGACAGACAATATAAATGTAAGCGTGAATGGTTGTTGGTTTGCATATGTGGCCCTGCAGTGGACTAGAGAAATGTTCAGGGTGTACCCTGTCTTGGCCCATTGAATGCTGGGATTATCTCTAGCTCCTACACTTAACAAAAGCTTCAGAGAAGATAAGGATGGACGTCAGTGATCAATGTTCTTTGACATGAATTGAGTGTCCTTGAAAATAGAAATATATAATCACAATTACAATTCGCATTTCTTATGACGTTACACAGGGTGCACTACAAACGTAGAGATCGAAGAGAGTCTCGACGAAACAAACAAAGTTTTCCTGACAGCACTGACCTCATCAGTTCTTCCACCTTGTCATCAATGTCAAGATCTTCTTCTGTGGCTTCAAACCCGAAAGCCCGCGCAGCAGCCGCGCTGTTCACCGGGTACCGTGGAGGAGACAGCTTTCCGTTGGGCGTTGCGGCTAAACAATCACGCCCGTTCTGTGACAGTGCCACCAAGCTGACCGGTGATGGAAGGACAGCAGAGGGCGGCGGCGGCCCCGGAGGTGGGGAGGTATCATAGCTGTTGCTAGGAGACGGCGACAGTCCTCCACTAGCGAACTGTGTCTGCGTGGCTGTGGAGATTTTGGAGGTGGTGGAAGAGGTGGCAGCCGCTGAATGTTCTGCAGCACTTCCCTCGTTGATGGCACCGTTGTTGCCATTGCAGGACACGGAAGAGGTGGTTGTTGCCGAGGCAGTGTTGTTATTGTTGAATGATGCTGTAGTTGCATTCGAGGCAGAGTTGTTGGTGCAGCTGCTTGCTCCGCCTACTCCATACGGGGAGGAGGAGGATGAAGAAGTAGAGGTACGGCGACCAAACTTGTCGCCATGCTCCCGGTCCAGCCGGTCCAGAGTGTCAAGTGCATGCAGGATCTCCTGCTTGGTCATGCCAGTGCGACGCAGCCGCTGCAGCAGATCTATCTGCTCAATCGTGAACCGCGGCTCCTCGCTGAACTCAGACATCCTGCTGCTGGACAGGAGAAAAAACAAAACAAGACAGGTTGAGAGACAGAAGGAAAAATAAAAGTCGGGGGAAGAAACGCAAGAGGAAGTTGAGAAGCAGAAGTGGATGTTCCAGATCTGGGCGAGAAAGCAAAGAGGAAGTCAGGGAACAACAAGAGTGATAGAGAAATGGTGGAGACAAAAAAAGGAAATGATGGGATTAGGCAGGAAAGAGATAAGGAACAGTTGCAGATGAAGAGAAAATTAAACTAACAGGAAAGGAGGAGGAGGACTGAGGCAGCAAAAGGTAGTGGAAGAGAGTTTGGGGGTAGAAGGAGAGGGTGGGAAAGCAGAAAAAAACTGCAAGGAGAAAATTAAGAGGCAGCAGATAAAAAAGGAAGACAAGAGCGAGAGATAGAAGTGTGAAAGAAAAAGGATGGGAGGGGCAGGATATAAAAATCTGCTATTTTTGGGAACCAGCAGGCAACACGCGCGGAGTGCCAGAGTCACCTTGACAGCTGATGCTATCTTAACATTCTGACTGCTGTTCTTTAAGTGCTACAATACATCTCCAGCTCAGCATCCCACCCACGCTGCATGTTTCTCCGAAGAAATTTGCTGTGCTTAAAATCAATGCAATTGGAATCAGACTGCGGCAGATTTTCCATCATGCCTGCGCGACTTATGCTGACATGATAAACGGTTTAAAAGGGGTCATCTGCATCTCTATACGTCTCCGTTAGACGAAACCATTCAGAGGACGCGTGAGAGAAGAAAAAAAATAATGAAGGACCTGAGAATGTCTGCAGTGTTTTAAGTTTGTCACGTGGGCAAAGTACAGTGAGCATGGTAAACATACGCCATCAAAGACGTGTTCTAGCAGGGCCATAAAGAAAATGAACTACAGACAGACAAAAGTCACTTCAGGTCAGTACGCAAATACTCACATATCACTCACATACCAGAGAGCAGCCTTGCAATAATGGTGAACATTAACTAGTCTCTTAGTAGTCATTACAAATTTATACAGGACACTGCTGAAGCTGTAAATGATTGCCGAACGCAGTAACCACATACATGCCAATGGAAAAACGACATGTCTGCAGAGCGAGTGTTCCAGATTTTTGATGCAATTAAAATGCGGCTTGAAAATGATCTCGAAGAAAAACAACTTTATTACAACAATGGGGAAACTTACGTTGTTGGGTAATGTTGTCATTGTATACAGTTTAACGCAACCTGCCCTAAGTGCAAAATAATCACACTACATTCACAACTTTCCCACTGATAATAAACCAGCAAATGAAAATGACTTTAAAATGACAATTTATCAAATGTGTGATAATATGTTATACATTTAAATAATAGCGTCTTCTACAAAAAAAAAAAATCATTACCCAACACGTTTAACCATTTACCAAGTAGCAACATGTTTAGACTGAGGGTGATTTACCTGGTTATCAAACCAAACAGATTCTTTTACTTAACAATGAAACAAAGTAAAGTCAGGGCCACCGAGCCCCGAATGTCCACAAAGACAAGGCTTGTCGCATCCCTCCCTTCCCTGCTAAGAGTTCTACTAAAAGCAGTCTGGAAGCACTAGTCAATTGGCACCATGAATAATTGATGACCTGGTCAAAACTTTTAAGCTTTGGATAAAAGTAAATTACAATAATTCTAAAAAAGGTGACGGCCCACACCGGACATAAAAAATGCACCTCGTGAGAGTGACTTGTGTGTCACGTGTGAATAAGAGTGACAGCCTACTGTAAAGCAGTGCTGCCCAAGCTGTTCTAATGGTCGGTATCTATCTTTCTATAGGGTTTCTGCAAAAGTAAGACACTGTTTTTTGACACTTAAAAAACACTTGACACTTTTGTCAAATTTTGAAATTCAGTGCCTTTATATGTTCATATGTTGTGTTCAAAGCTAGACTAAAGCAGCAGCTTAAATCTGTATCTTATATCCATGCGTCTTTGTTCATATAAATGCCACATATTACCTATTTTAAATAGTATTTCGTTTTTGCCAGAAACGCTTCGGTTACAACATGTAATACAGGTACAACATTCAGAGTGTAGACCCTACAGAGGTATACACTGGCGTGTATATCTCGACCTGCTCAAAATAACTGATTTCTTAATGAAACCTCTCCATACTCTACCTACACTGAACTTTGGTCCAGATGATGGTCTTTGATGGACAGTGTTATACACGAGCTGCGAAATATAACCCTGCCAGAATATATGTCCACCTTAAAATAACTCTTTCTTTTTTTTTATCAGTCTGAATTTACTATTCTGGTAACTGAGTTGAGTTGCGGATGTGCTGTAAGTGTAGGGGCCTGCAGAGACAGCGCATACCCGCCGCTGGTGTCAGCGCTGCGGGTGGACCGCTGCTGCTGCTGCTGATGCCAGCCTTTCACGCCCTATGCCCGAGGAGCTAATGTTAGCCAATACTTCTGTGGCAGGCGGACAGTGCCCTGTGCAAACGTCCGAGAAGCCTCACAGTCGCAGAATATTATATATACAGTAACGTTATGAGCGTCGCTGCAGCTGTCTTTATAGTAACATCAGTAAGTTGACATTATAGAGAAATAACAGTGACCCCCCCACATGGGGTTTATTTCATTACTATTGCTGTAAAGAGCTGATTAGCATATGCTAAATGTATCGCCGCCGACAGTAGGTGCCGTGGCCGCTGTCGCTCGCTGGCGAGCTTTTGATATTAATAACATCACTTTCTGCGCTCCACGGGAATAAGTAAAAGACTCACCTCGGTTCAAAACGTCCACTAAACCATTTAACTTCGCGAACTGAGTGAGGAGCCGCTGTCTTCTCTGTCGCAGCCGAACAAACACGGCAATATGATAAACGGTGCCCTGTCCGACCCCTTTCCAAGGATTTCTAATCAGAGGCGAATTATTTGCCTCTCCGCTTTGTCTGTCTGACAACAGCCATATTGACAACTAACACCTTCGAGGAGCTTCGAGGGAACTGTAGTTTTAATCTCACGAAGAGTCTCGTCAGTGCGGCCGCGTATTCCACGCAGAAAACTACAAGTCCCAGATGGATGAGAGTTGAGCGGGAGAGCCGATGGCTCACTGAGCTACAGTTGTCACGTAGAGGGATGCAGTTTTTAATGTGGCCAACTTATCTGTTCAATGGTGCCGCTTCGGCCAGGACTTACCTCAGCTCATCACTTCAGTCTAACACTATCCCTCTCCTAACTGTGTACAAAATGTTTTGGAACATTTTTTTTTTAGAACAGTTATAAATATAGTAACACGATGTATCAACTGTGCAGGAATGTGTATCACAGTAAAGTTACATGTTGCTGTTAAGTGACCCTCACTTCTTTTCTATATTGACATTATAAAATTTACAATAAAGCAAAGGACATTTTTAAATAGCACAATACTTTAAATACAAGACAGTTGACAAGATACACAAATGGTTGAAACTTGAGAAGAAAAGCCACAAGTTCAAGGGTTATGACACATTTAAATCTAGTGTTCTAACAGAGTGGTTCGCCTTGATTCTCCGTGCTATTAGAAAAAGAAAACAGTGACAATGAGTTCTTTTTGGATGGATTCTTTTAAGAAACGTGCATTTTTCTTTTTTTTTCCCCCTGTTCCCTTCTCCTACATCGCCTCCAGTAATAATATATCAACCACCTTTATGTCCTTTTTTCATTATGTCCATGAATCTTGAATTAGTGTCTTCATTCCTTTTCTGCCTGGCAGCTCTACCTCGAACATTTTTTGTCCAATATATTGTATCTATTATCCCTCCTCTGCTCTTGAACCGACTATTTTCGGATTTTTGATGTTTCCTGTGGAGGTTAGGGAGCGTGGAGCAGCCCTGGCCTTGAGAGATATAAACTATAGTTATGTAACGTTAATGTCACATTCATTGAGAACACGGAGTACAAAGAAACATGAAGTGCATACATTGAATTGCAGAGTACTTACAGTATGTTTTCCATTATAAGATAATGACTTAAAGCTATACGTTTCATACAAATCTAACATTTACTCCCAAGACACTGCTTACTCGACACAAATATATGGCTTCTAGTCATTTCTGGTGCATCAGCTAGATTGAAAATGATAAAAAAACTTGAGTCAGAGAAAGTATATATATATACAGTATACTGTACATAGTACCACCCAAATGTGAGAAAGACCAGCAAAGGTAAAAACTACACAAGTCTTAATTTAGGAGAGTAAATGGATACAGCTGCTAACGGTATTTAGCATGCACATCCAGCGAAAAGCGCAGCCCATTTAAGTTAACCATTAATATTTGTAACGTTGTGCTGTTTCTGCTTCATTTCAGCCCACACCTGCTTTGCCTCAACGGAGTCTTGTGATTTATCAAGCTCTAAGCACACAAAGATTGTTGAAGGCATGCCGTGGACTGTTAAGCCGCTAACCAATACTGTGTAAAGACTCCGTAACTAATTAAGCTAACAGGCTATTTTTTAGGCAAGTTAAACTGTTTTTCTTATGCCCAGTTTTGATAAGGACGTCAACTGTGTTGCTGTGTCTTTAAATACAGACCAAAGTAATTTGAAAAAAAACAAAACAACAACCCTCTGTTAGTCCTCAGACGCATTTAAAAACAGTTGTACTGCACAGGAGTTTATGATTAATGTTAATGCTCTTAAAGCAGGCGTCTGCAGCTTGGTAGTCATGCATAATACATCACGGGCCCACAGTGCTCATATAAGGTGCTAATGATTGCATATATTTACAGTCTGCTTCTCTACTGTATATGAGATGCACCATAGCTTCCCACTTCGAGTTGAGAGCCACACATTTTGTAAATGAGCTGTGAATGCTGTTATGCAGAAGCCGAACTACAGCCCAGCGGTCATACTGCCCCCGTGTGACAGCTACTGTCACACAAAATAAATCCAAGGAAGTTTAATGAAAACAAATAAAACAAAACAAAGCCTGAATGTATACAGTTTGTTCAGTCTTGTTTAACTAAATAGAGAACACAAATGACGTCAAATGACGATACATCATTGTACTTAAAAAAAGTTATTTTATTTATATTATAAAATTGTTGTTTTTAAATAGACTTTGTCATAGGTTCTTTTTGGAGGAATTAAGATTTCAACTCAATATTGGTTCAAATATTTTTTTGATAGTCTTTGATGAAAATAATTGCTGCAGGTTGAAAAATAACAACACTATGGTTATTAAAGGCGATGGAATCTTGAAGTTTTCATAGTTTCCTGTTTGTGCCACTGCTGTAAACCAAAAAAAAAAAAAGGGAAAAATAAGAGAGAAAAAATAACATAGGGTTTTTGTAAAATAGTATTATTATTATTTGAAATATTATTGAAATATTAATATTAATTTAATATTTGCTCAGCATATAACAAGAATCATATAACTGAAAACACAGTTAATTCCTGACC